AAGACTCTCAGAAAGGGCAAACTCAGCATCTTCCTCAAAGCCAGCGAGGACCATGAAATATCTGCATGGTGTGCCATTTCTAAAGTGAATTCACAAGAAAACAAGTCTAAATTGTTTTGTATATTGGCAGGATTTGAAGGCAGCTGAACAAATGGTTCTACTATGTTCCACAAGGTGTCAAAAATTAATTGTTCACAGGTAAACAGAGTACTCTGCCTAAGCACACTGACACAGCCTTGTTTAGAAAATTGGTCAAGGTCATTAAGCAGAAATTACTCTGCTGAAAGCATATTGTTCAATTATATAGTGAGTGTAGCAAAGTGCACACTTGTTAATTGCTGCTTCTGATATAATATTAAAATATAATTGATCTGTAGAGCCCCCAAACCTGATCCAATTCATTCAAAGCAGCAGCAGTCAACAGCAGTTAGTATATTGCAATGGCACACTAAATCACAGCTGAAATATTCATGCAGATGTAAAATCAGTTATCTTAAAATATTCACCTTCCTAACACTCCCAGGGCATCCAGAGTGCAGATTAAAAATCAATCATTTGGCCAGAGATGCCTTCTTGGCAATGCCTTTTTTAAAATTGCCATCTCCCAATATTCCTGCCCTATTAACTGGACAAAAATCTTCCACATTTAAATGCATATAAATAAAGAACAACATCTCTTGGAACAAATTAATAGACATCGTGCAAAAGGGAAGCTTGCTTTCATAGTTAACCACTGTTGGCCCTGGATTATGGTGGCAGTTTAGAGAAGTAGGAAAATGTTCACAGAAACCATTTCTCGTGAAATTAGATCTTCTACAAAGCCATATTGTTGGAAGAAGTTATGTAGGCTATCTAGTCAAATGTGACATTCATGCAAAAATCTAAAATAAAACATCCTGACAGCTCTACTAACATAGCCAATAAACTGAATCCCACCACTACTGTTTTGAGTAAATGGTCCACAATCAACCTGCTCTCTTCAAAGTCTTCCTGCAATTTAAATCCATTTTACCACATCCTATCTTCTAGGATTATGAGTATTTTTTTTTCATGTGTCAGCTTTTCACACTTTTTTTGATAAATTTCAAAAGCGAATAAATGTAAGAAAAGTAAAAACTAACTCTGAAATATGGAGAAGGTGGAATATTTCTCTCTCTTTGGAAATGCTTTCAAAAGGTTGTCCTTCAAGGTTATTGTCCTTATACAGCAAAGAGATTTGTGTAAACAAAAACTAAGGAATATTGCAAATGCTATACTGAGACTGCTAACTGCATTGGACTTAACACGATACTAACTTCAGTTGGCAGGTTACAGCATCCCAGAAATAATGGGAAAAGGGGATGCAGAAAACAGTTCACTATTAAAAGACACCTTAATACAGGAATACTGGAATTCACACAAATTTGGTCATTCTGTCACCCAAAAAGGACTAGAAATATGCATTTTCTTAAAAGGTATTTATCTAATTTATATGTATCTAATTATATATCTTTTTAGCATTTAACCACAAATAGCCAGTTCATTCAAGGTATCCCTGATCTAAAACAAAGCAACAAAGCACAGCACACATAATCTCTGCCAAAGAAATATTGCAGACGACAGATGGAAGGTGTTCCCACGCAGATTTTATTTTGTATTTCTGTTATCTCCAGCTCTTGCTTTCCTATTGTCTATTACTCAGATTTCTCAGCCCACTAGATGTGTATGTTGAAGTACAACATTGGTTAGAAGGAAAAAAGGCTGCATTCAAACTCAACTCCTGGCCCATGTCATTTTTGGTATACCATAACAATATACTGTAGAAAGCTGGGTTTTCAGCTTCCAGTTCAATTTATCTTCCCAGCCTCAATAAGATCAATTATGTGCTCCCACTGCTATGATGTTAGCTCAAAAATGGTAACAAATAGAACTAATACACTTTTGAAAATCTTGCCAAAGACCAATTCTACTAAAGCAGGTTGTTCATATGTTTTGTGCACCTGCTGTACTCAGGCAGGATTGTTTTAGGATGTTCTATTTATTGTTCTGTAACTAGTACAGGCATGTAATGGGAATGGGAAATAGATCATTTTGCCAGTACTTTGTATGACTGCTGTTCCATCTATCAGAGAATTGTCTGCTTGAGACACTGAAGTCAGCGTTGGCAGTCACAGCAGCCATACCTTAATAGAAATCCTTGATGGATCATCAGCTAAGATTCCAGGAAGGGGTTTAATTTTGGTTTGCTTGCTTTGATTTGGTTTGGTTTTATGCATCTCGCAAGCAAGCTCACTGTGGATTAAGTATAACATGCCCAAACAGTTTTCTTCTTGGTGAAGGAATCACTCAAGGCAAAGTGCACAAAGGAGCTTTTAGCATATGTAATATTTATGCATGAGTTATCTCTAAGCTTCATTCTTAAGTAGGCACTGGGGTGGGGGAATGAGATGCTAGCTTTCCCCTCTTTAAGTTACCATGTTTAGGAAAAATCAAACCTATAAGGGATTACATTGTATTTAAAAAATCTAGGCTGGAGAACATACTTTGGGTTATTAAGATGGTTCATAGCTTCTACTTATAATCTATACACTGACTTTTTATAGAGATGGTAGAGACAAGATTGATAAACTGTAAAGTAAATGAAAAATAGCAAATGCTAAATTCAGCTTATACTGTATTACTAGATACCTTTAGGGATATGCTCAAAAAAGTTGATATGGCAACCATAAAGTTGTAATTGAAGCTCTCTTTTTTTCATGAGCAATGCACATTAAAAAAAAAAGGCAGAGCTTCAATCTTCCTATCATGGCTGCGATCTTGACTTTTTTGACCATATACTAGATACCCCTGGATATCCTTGTTCTTGATTTTGATTTTTCTCTTGTCTATCATGCCTAATTGAACTCCGCAGTCAAGAAATCAATCCTGGGTGGAAGGGGGCACACCACAGGAACATATTTTTGCCCACATGCTCTTCTCTGGTCATCTCAGTAGTCTCCAATTAACCTCCTTTATGAAAAGGGCAATAGAGTACATCACAAATCCTTAGAACAGAACAGCATTTCAACTTCCTAGGACATTCTGCAGCAGACTTCAAGGTGACTGTTTTGGAAAACCAGCATTTTAATTCCACCACTAAGCAAGAGATTGGTGAAATCACATACCTTGAAAGGTTTCAGATCATCTCAGTTGGTTTATCTACATAAACACCTTTCCACCACCACTACCCACTTCACCTCACATCAGTCTAGCACTCTGTGTATCTGGTGAAAAAGCTGCAGTTCACAAAAGCTTGTACCCTTTTAAGATAAGATAACCTTTATTGTCATTTTTTTACTGTGGGCACAACAGCACACATCAAAAATGAAATTTAGTTGCCCGCTCTCAAAGTGAAACATACATGACACACACCTATGTACAACATATATATAGACCCACACCCCTACATATACATAACAAATATTAAATACTGTCCATCTTGAATATATAACAGAAGGAGGAAGCTTGAGAGTTCACAAGGTTAACGCTGTATGGAATGAAACTATGGCTGAATCTGGATGGATACCACGAAGCCTTCTCCCAGAAGGTAACAAGGAAAACAGGTCATGAAGAGGATGTGTAGTGTCCCAGATGACCTTATGGACCCTGCTCAAGCAACGCTTCTGTGCTATGTCCCGGATGGGAGGGAGGGAGATGCCAATGATCTTTTCGGCCATCCTCACCACTCTCTGCACTGTCTTTCTGTCTGAAGCAGTGATGCTGTATGACTGTAGAAAGTGGTCAGGAGAAGGAAAGGAAGATGTGCTTTTCTCATGCAACACAGAAAATGCAGGCACTGCTGTGCCCGCTTCACCAGTTTCTGTTGAGTGACTAAGCCAGCCTATAGGTCGGAAAGAAAAAAGTTCTATCAGATTTTTTTGCCACTGTAGACTAACAAGAGGTTTCCTTCTATGATCTCCACAGAATCAGGCTCAGTTACAATTGTGAGGAATGTATCATCAGAAAAGTTGACGGACCAGGCTAGCGACAGATCTTCACAGAGAAAATCTATGTGGTTGCTTAGAACTGACATCAACTTCATGACACAAAATCAACTTTGCCATCTTTATTTTGGTTTTGGATAACATAATGGATCATGAGGGCTGGTTCAGCTTCAAATAATCCCAGGGTAGTTTAAGATCAAAATTAAATTTACTGGTGACTGAATTTATACAATTGCACAATACATTACAGTGTGTATCAACCCACTTCATTCCAGTTAAATGTAATGGTGGACAGAACCTAACCCTGAGACTTGAAGGGATCTCATCCAAGGAAGTTTCTGCAAATTGGAAATTAGGTTTATCATATGTCCTATTTTGATTGGGATTTATTTATGTATTTGAATCCCACCTTTATTTTTACAAATAACTCAAGGTAGCAAACGTATCTAACACACCTTTCTCCTCCAATTTCACTTTGCATTCCAGCCAGTTTACAAGTCCTGGAGAACAGGATTGCACCAACCCACAAAAGGAGCCTATGGCCTTAAAAGTGCAACCTCCTCCTCCTTGAAAACATGATTAAACTTAGAAATAGAAATACTATCGGTAGATAAGAAAACTGAAGGTGAGCCTGAGATCAAATAATCTAGGGAAACCGTATCTGTGGCCAGGCTGGGTTTCTAAGCAATTGCAAGTTTTCTCGTTTTTTAATCGGGACATGCCTATGTTAGGACTTCAAGCGCAGTTAATTATGAAGAAATAATGTCTTCCGTTTTCAGCAGCTAGAGAGAGAATCCAAGGCCGCCCCGCTCGACAAAAAAACTTATTTTTGTTCCATTATGCCCGGCAGCTGCTTTCCACCATGGACCTCCTTGCTGAAAGCCGGCAACCCAAGCCGGCATTTTCCAACAAGGAGGAAGCAAGAGTAGCCATTCAGGAGCTAAAATAAAAAGAGTCCATCCCGCAGCCCTCCCCCGCCCCCACAAAAGCGCGGAAGGAAGGGCGGAGAGCGCGCACGCGGCCTTTCGGCATAGCCAAGGTACCGCCGCGCTGGTCTCCTCCTCCACCCGGGGAAAGCGAATAGGAGAAGGCAAGAGACGGGGGATCTAGGACCCAGTTCCACAGACCCCGCAAGAAGAACCGCGCGCGCCCCCGCGCTGCCGCACAAAAGGCCCTGCGCGCGCCAGGCACCAGGAGCGGGTCCAGACCCCGCCGCCCTTTTCCTGGCTGCGGTTCCGCGCAGGCTGTTTTTTTTGGTTTTTTCCCCCTTTTCTCTGTGGGCAACTTGGGGAGGAGGGAGAGGTCACGATGTCCGCCCCCAGGAAAGGCTTCTACCGAGAGGAGATCACCAAAACCGTCTGGGAAGTGAGGGAGCGCTACCGAGAGCTGCAGGCGGTGGGCTCCGGAGCTTACGGCGCCGTCTGGTAAGTGGTCGCCAAGGCGCAGCAAGCGCCCCTGGTTGCGGGCAGAGGAAAGAGCCCCGAAGGAAGCGCTGCGCTGCCAGAACGTAAGTCCGGCGCCGTCGAGCAAGGGAACAATGGCCTCTTCGCACTGTTCCTTCCTCACACACATCCCAGGCTCTTCCGCGGCAGCCGGTAACCAGAGATGGGCGCACGAAGTGCCAACCTTAGCGCGTTTTCTTTTGCAGACCAGCGGTTGGACCTGCTGTACCTATTCACCAGATAACGCTCGATCTGGATACTGAGGGGATCCGTTTTCTGGGTTCGCTCACTTTGCATCAGCCGGGGTCTCTTAACACCCGGAGACACGAGAAAGATTCCATTAATCAAAAATTAACTATCTTTAACTAAGTTAGCATGGTCCGCACATAGAGATTGCGAGGTTTTTAACAACGTGTCGTGTGAATGCAGCAGTTATTCGCCGTCCCGCCCAAACACCTTCGTGCATTGAAAGTGAACCCAGAACCAGTGGGTGATATTGGCAGGACTTCGGATGGTTTGAAGGTTGAATTTCTTATCTCTGCTCTTTTTTTACATGCCAGCGAGAGAAAAATTACTGCATTGTTTTGGGGCAGAGAAGGGGGTGACGCTCTTTGGGAGAGGGAAACAACTGAAACAACCTTGGGTAGCAAATTACAATTTTGCAAAAAAAAAAAAAAAAAAAAGTGGCTGGTGTTTGTAAAGGGAAATGTTTAATTCCCCCCCACCCCCAGAAATGTTCTTGCAATACATGCCATTTTTACTAACTGGAAATGACTCAGCCTTTTAATGGCTTTGCTGCCACAATGAATTAATCAAGGAGAGAAGCAGCCTAGAATTAAGGAGAAATTTCCTGACAGTTAGAACAATTAATGAGTGGAACAACCTGCTTCCAGAAGCTGTGAATGCTCCAACCCTGGAAGTTTTTAAGAAGAGATTGCACAACCATTTGTCTGAAATGGTAGACCTCTAAGGTCCCTTCCAACTCTGTTCTATTATTCTGAATTTCTGTTGAGAGTAATTAAAAACAAAAGCCAAATAAACAGAAAGCCAAATTTTCTGTTGGAAACCCAATTCCAATAATTTATAAGCAACTTCTAACCAACCTAGGCTGATCTGATAAAAGTTAAACAAATTGAATCTGTTTTGATGGATGGGAGACCACCAGGAGATTCTACAGCTATAGGGTAGACTGGGAAGTTGAAAAAGCAACTTGGGAAAAGGCAGTTGCAAACTGCTTCTATATTACTGCCCAAAACACTATGGAGTATGCCCATTACATCACATTACATCCTGTCCCTATTTCCATGCCATTTTAATGTTTCATTCTATGACTTTCATCTAGCAATGACTGGTTTCTTCCCCTCTGTTGATCCCAGATCTCAAGTGGAAATAGGAAAAAATGATATTTTACTTCCTCTGGCATGTGCCCTGATGATGGTTGGTGTAATTGGCAGAATGCATTGACAAAACTGCATTTCTGTGACCAGTTATATTTCGGACAGATTTTGCAACATAAAATGCTGGAGTCTTGACTTCAATCTTCAATTACTCTAGAGGTTATCCAGCTTTTTCCATTCAGGGTACTATTATGACCTGATCAAGTGAATACATCTCTGGCTCATTTTGTGCAATTTGTTCATTGAATGAACTGAATTTATGAAGTGAATTTATGTGGAAAAAATATTTTGAATGGAATTAACTGGAAAAAATATTTGGCTCCTTTAAACTTTCCAGTTTCCTGTTTGTAACTCAAACTCAAAAGAAACAAAATTGAGCAATGTGTGAAGCAGTGTTACCTAATAATAACTGAAAATAATAGAAATGAAAAATGGGAAAAATACAAAATTCTAAGTTTAAACAATTAAAAAGAGTAATTATGAAAAAAGGTATGAAAATTGTCATTCCTCTAATTATTGATACATTAGGCAGAATACCACATAGATGAAATACATGTGTACAAGCACCAAGTATTACCCATATTAATTGGATTTACCAAACCCTCCATCTTGTTGGACATGTTATATATTGGGACACAGAATTTGAATTTCTAAAAAACACCTGTCAAATGTATGGTTCTTTTTGTTTATTCTTTATATTTGTTATTCCTTAAATTTAAAAAATAATGCCCTCACAGATATAAAGTGATTGAAAAGTGCAAGTACAAAGATTAGAAATTTTTCGTAGGCTGGCACCAACTGTGTATTTTACTGTCTAAAACAGGTCACCAACCTTTGTCGGTTGGCAGACCGGAGGAAAAGGAAGGGGGAAGCATGCATGTGCACAGGGCTGTGAGCACGTGTGCACCACAAACAGGGTAGCGTCCCTCGTGATATTAGCCCTGTCCCATTCTTGTGTGGCACAGTGCCTTGTTTCTGCACCCTGCGGCGCAGCGGCGGCCCATTTTTGTGCCCCATGGCATGGTGGCACCCTGTTTTTGTGCCGTGCGGTGGTGGCCCATTTCTACAGCGCACGGTATGGTGGCATCCATTTTTGCACCTTGCAGCGTAGCAGTGGCCCATTTTTGCACCCCACAGTGCGTCAGCGCCCCGTTTTCACAGTGTGGTAGCGCTCTGTTTTCATGCCCCATAACACGGCGTTGGCGTCCCATTTTCGCACCCGAGGTGCAGCAGTGGCTCATTTGCACTCCGAGGCGCAGCGGCAACCCATTTTTGCGCCCCGTGGTGCAGCATCATGTTTTTGCGGCCGCGACACTAACATAAGTGAGGGGGGATGCGCACCCACAGGTTGGGGACCCCTGGTCTAAAAGGCAGTCGTTGCATCCCTTAATTTCTCCAGCCCAATTCCTGCTGTGGACAAGAACATTAGGCCCATCCAGGTGAATCTAAATAAGCAAAATTGAAGTAGCTGCCTGCAGCTTCAGAAACTCATAATTTTCAATATATCTAAGTCCTATAAGCTACGAAGAGTATTACTCTTTTGAAAATGTTTTCAAACTCTTTGAAGAACAGGCAGCTATTGAGGTTGCATGGACACCTACATAGTTCTATCTGGTGCATAAGATACTATCTTGTGGATCAGAAGGTCTTGCTTACAGTCACGCATATCTGTTTGAATTAATGCAAAATGCCTTTTCTGGGATATACTTGAAACCACCAGTTTCAGTAGTGATGATAACATCTAGAGCAGAGGTCCCCAACCTTTTGGGCATCAGGGATTGGTTCTATGGAGAGAGATCTTTCTGTGGACCGGAGGGGGTGTGCTTTCATGTACTGCCTGCATCCTGCGGATGGGGTTTTGCTTGTTTACGTGGACCAATTTCTGACATGCTGCTGCCCAGTGCTGGTGCACGGACCGGGGGTTAGGGACCCCTGATCTAGAGCCTCTCATGTAACACTTCTGTTGAGAACTGAATGCAAGTTGAGGTATTTACCGTTAAAGCCTTACATGGACCAGGGTGTCTGTAGGATTTTCTACCAGTGGCTTCTTCCTTTCCAATGAGAGAGACCCATATAAGAGTATCCCCAGTCCCCTAAGGAATGTCTTCCCCAGGGACCAGTGTTTTCTGTTGCCTCTGTTTTGGAACAACATTCCTCTTCAAGTTTTAACTGGTTCAAATCCCATTGGCTTTTCAAAACTTGGCCATGGAAATGGAAGAGGCTGGTGTAATCCCTCTTGTTATGTTTGGCTGTTCCTCAGGTGTTGAGGTTACTGTAGAGTGAATGTAAGTCACTTGAATCTTATGGATTGGAGTGGCATATGACTTCCAGTAAACAACAATACATGTTGTTGCTCAATCTTACCACTACCCCCATTACACAAAGCATGATCTTAAGTAATTACATTTTGCTGAGGTGAGTTCCTAGTTCTTTGATAAAGTATCTGTTTCTCATGTAGAAATTACCTGGCTCCACTTAAAAGGATTTGATGGAAGGTGATGGAAAAGAAGTGTCAGTGAGTCAGTGCCAGTTAGAGAAATGATAAAACTTGAGCAGTTTCTTAGGTTTTTTGTTACAATACACCTCTATAACTGATAAACTTAGAAAGAAGCAAGCTGTTATTATTTAGCATATGGCATATCATACATGGACTAACAATATATATTAACATTTCACCTAGTTTAGTAAAACACAATACAATTGTTAAAAAGATCGATGTTTACTCATTTGGCTTTCCATTAGGAATCAATGTTAAAGTTGTTGGGCAGATGTTATGCAAGTGCCATTGGGGGCTTCCTGATTTGAGTCTTCTGGCTGATACAAATGAGGAAGGTCCACATGTACCGGTAGTTCAGAATTTTTCTGTTTACGTCACTCGTGCATCTTGCCTTTGTAAAGCTGGTGGTGCTATATGGATCAGAACAGAAAATCAGCAAGTCCGAGTGGTTTTAATACATTCACTTCTAATCCTTATAGTATTGTTGAATCTGGTTTTAATTTGCTAGTGTGGCAGCTGTTAAGCCATACAAGGCCACTGTAGATCTACCCTAGTGCTAATGACCTGAAGATGGCAGCTAAAGCTTCCCATTTAGTTTCATATAATTTCTGGAATATGGAATATGTTCTTAGTATTGATTTTTGCTACTGTATTCCCTAGATGTATTTTATAGGAAAGAGTCCAGTCTAATGTTACTCCAAGGTACTTTGGATGGGGATTATAGGGAAATAAGCTGTTTTTAAGTAGATCTTTGTAGCTTCATATGCAAAGTTTGTTGTTAAGGTAGAAGTACGTAGTTACTTTGTTGGTGCTAGGAATGAACCTCCAGTCAGTGAAGAATTTTCCAAAGAGAAGCAAACTTCTTGCCACACTTAGAAGGAGAAGAGGGCAGAGGTAACCTCATTTGAACAGCCATCCTTATTAATTCATAGACACCCTTGTAGCACAATTAAAGATAAGAGCTGAATCTACCTTAGAAAGTTAATACAGTAGCTGTTTTGGCTTAACAGATCCACATGTCTTCTCTATTTATATCTAATTCAACTCTTCCTGTCTCTGTTAAGTTCAGCTATTGACCAGAAAAATGGAAGCAAGGTGGCTATCAAGAAATTGTACCGCCCATTTCAATCAGAGCTTTTTGCCAAGCGAGCCTATCGGGAACTACGCCTTCTGAAGCACATGAAGCATGAAAATGTGAGTATCTGTTCTAACGAACCTTTTGTTTCACAGTTCAGAAAGCCCTTGCGCACTCTGTTTAGCAGCCTAACAGGAACTATTTCACATGGACTAACATGGATCTAGATGAAGATCTAAATCAGAGGTCCCCAACCCCCGGTCCATGGACCAGTACCGGGCTGCGGCATGCCAGCAACCAGGCCGCACAAATAAGCAAAGCCCCATCTGCGGGATGCAGGTAGCACACAAAATCACGCCCCCTTCGGTCTGTGGAATCACCGCTCCACGGAACCAGTCACTGGTGCCCAAAAGGTTGGGGACCTCTGATCTAAATCATTATTTTGTTTTGCTTTGTTTTGTATTCCCATTTCTTCTAAATGACTTAAGTTTTGCACAACCTTTCATTCTTCCACTGCCTCATCAACTATATTAGTAACAGGTCATGAAATACGGAAGCCTGGTATGGACAAGCATTGTATGACAATTCTGGTTTAGCACCTCATAAACAAAGCGTGGCCATGAGATTGCCATCTCATTTTCATTTAGCATTAGCTGTGAGCCCAAACCTGGGATAAATTTACCAGAACAATCTCAAATAAAAGTCATCAGTAAAATTATCTATTTAGGCTAATCCATTTTTTTGTGTTCCTGATTACTAAAAAGTTTTGTTCCTCCAGCTTTAACCTCTTTCAGCCTTAAAATGTCCCCATAAATGGATCACTCAATCTGCAAATGCTTATTGAACATTATTGAAACAAACCAGCTAGAATTGGTTAAATGCATAACAATTGAGATCTATCCATAATTAAAGTCTATTTAGTTAAAACTGGAAGTTTAAAAGACATTAATCTCATAGTCATGATAATAAAGGAACAGAGCAGATGCTAACCATAGTTAATATGTAGGCTAACATTACAGAATGCCAAATTAAAAAAAAAATTCATGATTAAGTGAGAATTGTTGTAGGGTCTAATGAACAACTGGCGTCAGTTTGATATTTTGTTTACTGAGCCTTTGAGTGAATGGCATTGCTGTGTATCTATAGGATCTGTTACTTGTCTGAGATGGTATAGATTCTTCTACTTGAGCAGGGGACTGGACTAGAAGACCTCTAAGGTCCCTTCCAGCTCTATTATATATATATATATGTATGTATGTATGTATGTATGTATGTATGTATGTAGTTAATAACGCTAAAAATATGAATCCTGGGAATATTCATATCTAAAATAAAATGAACACCAAGGTACTAATTAAAACTATAAAAGTTTAATTTAAAAACGCCAAGCTTTCACCGTCACCTGCCGGCATCATCAGGGCTGGGCCGCCAGGGTGTGAGAGAGTCATTTTATAGGCAAGCCGGAGTCTGCACCCGGCTCCTTGATCTCGTCACCGGGCCCAATTGGTTAAATTGTGCTCCGGTGGTTCGTTTCTTCCTGTCCTTCCTAGCTACGTGTGTATCTTCATTTACCTTCTTTTCTTTGGCTTCTGAGGCAGGTGGCATAAACTCCTTCTCTTTCCGATTGTCTCTATCCCTCAATCCATTCTCCCTTTCGGGTTCGAGTGGTAATTTACATTTGTCCTTTTCTTTTCCCAGATCACGCTTTATCCAGTCACTTTCTCTATGAGTATCTTTCTTTTCGTCCTTAACGCCCCTCCCTCGTGCCCAACTGTCATCAAGATAGTCATACGCAGTGTTCCAAATCGGTTGGGGTGGCTCAATAGGTTGTTTTTCTATGGGGGTGATCTCATAGTTATAATTATCTTTGACTACCACACCCTTCCCTTCCTTTTTGTCCTCTGCGCTCTTGTCGCGCATGCTATAATCTGAGGTCTTGGTCTGGGGGGGGGTGGAGTTGCGATCTTCCTGAGCGTGATAACGCTCCTTCTTTACCCTCCTCTTCATTCCGACGTTTCTCGCTCCTGCGTGTGTATGACAGGAGTCTTTGGAGTCCATGGGTGTTGCCGGTACGAGGCGCGGTAAGCTGATCTCATTGGCTCCGCCCTCTCTCGCACCTCTCCGTCTGGGCTCGTTTTTCTCCTTACTTTCTGGAGCGTCCGCAGGCTTGCTGTTATGCTCGGCGCCGTCCCGCACTCCATATGTTTTTGGGCCGGCTGATGATGCGGAGTAGGGGGATCGCTTCTTCTCTCTTAAGTCGGTCATCCTGTTTCTTTCTGAGCGTCAGTGAGGTGTCCGGTTTAACGATCTCTCCCCATCTTTGTCTATCGTGTCTCCTTGCACGCTAAGTGGGATATCTCCGATGTTCATAATGCAGCGGTTCTGGGCTTTAATTTCTATCGCTCTCTTAGCTTTTTGCAAGCATGTTAACATTGCGGGGGTAGTGGGGATTCTTAGTCGCTGTCCCTCCTCTTCTGGATTGCACCGAGCTGACTGGGTGCATATCACCTGTGGCTTTCTCGCTAGGTTTGTTGTCGGGCCGGTAGTAGCGAGATGGGTGGTTGGTCGCACTCCATGATCTAAGTGCCAAGTGTGCCGGACAGAGGTCAATATGCCGGTTGATAGAGCTGCTATTGGATAGCCATGCTTCCTTTAGCAGTTGGCCTCCCTTTGTACTGTCACTAGCCAAGACGTTTACCTCATTAAAATTAAAGCGGTGGCCCAATTCCGCCATATGAGTCCATATCTGGGAGTGCTGTTCGCCCCTTTTCACAGCTAGTCTGTGTTCATGGACCCTAGTCTTCACTCGTTTGGAAGTCTCCCCAACATAGTTGCACGGGCAGTCCATACAGTCGATCTTATATATGGCTGCCGATCTCTCCATGTTGGGGAGTGGGTCTTTGGGGCGCATGATGGCTGCTCGTAGCGTTTGACTGGGTCTATGTGCTACCTGTATATTATATGGCGCCAAAATTCTCGCCGTAGCCTCTGATACATTACAGATATAGGGGAGGGTAATACGTGTTGTCTGTGGTGTCAGTTTATTAGGTATGGGGTTACTCCGGGGTTCAAATGGTGTACTAAACCGATTAATGAATCTTACCGGGTACCCATTACGCTTACACACTTGGAAGAGGTGGTTTCTTTCCTCCCTCTTAGCTTTGATAGTGCTGCAATGTGACTCTACCCATTTGAATAAAGTCTTAACGCAACTGACTTTATGGGCTATCGGATGATTGCTCTCAAAATGGAGGATCCTATCCGTACAAGTTGCTTTTTGGTATACCCTGGTGGTCAAGGATCCATCCAGTTGGCGTTGCCCCAATACATCCAGAAATGCTAATGCACCCTGATTTTCCTCTTCCATGGTGAACTGGATGTCTGGGTATACCGAATTCAAAATGCCCATAAAGTCAGTCTTGTGTTGCTTCTTGATGACTACAAACGTATCGTCCACGTAGCGGGCCCAAAATTTTGGTTGGTACTGGGCTATCGCTATGTGTTCCAAATGTTGGAGCACCACCTCTGCAATTACACTTGAGATCGGAGACCCCATTGGTGTTCCCTTGATCTGCTCAAACATAGTGCCCTGGAAGGTGAAGTAGGTCTTTAAACAGACTCCCACCAGTTTTATGAGGTCTTCCGTCTGGAGGGAGTCCTGATGTTGTTCCTGTTCTCCCTGATTCAACCGGTCTCTTAATACTGAGATCGCAAGATTTTGCGGAATAGAAGTGAATAAGGAGACCACATCAAAAGACACCATGAGTTCGTCTTCCTCTACCCTCAGGGCTCTAATCTTATTGAGGAACTCGTCTGCCGATCTCACGGTGGTGTTACTATTACCGGCCAAGTGGCTGATGCATACGCTCAGCCACTTGGCCAGTGCAGAGGTGGGCGTGCCCCTAAATGCAACAATAGGCCGGAGGGGGACATTGGGTTTATGTATCTTGGGTAAGCCATAAAATCTGGCAAGAGCTGAATCGCTAGGGCGTACCCTTCTCAACACGTCTTCCCCCATCCTCCTATTGCGTTTTAAGTCATCAAGAAGCTTGTTAATACGATTCCTCAAAGTGGTGGAGGGGTCTTTACTTACTATTTTATATGCAGCACTGTCATTGAGCAATTCCAGTGCCTTATTGATATACACCACTTTGTCCATGACAACAGTTGCCCTCCCCTTATCTGCTGGGAGTATGACAATAGTGTCATCTTTTTTAAGTTGTATCAGGGCTTCTCTTTCACTCCCAGATAATGTCTGGTAGCGTCTGTGATTCATTATGAGGCCTGTGACTTGTTGCCTGATATGGTTCTTGGCCTCTTCCCCTGCTCCAATATGATGTAAAGCAGGCTCTAATGCCGCTACAAAGTCCAGGGTGCCCGCATCTATGAGATTGTACCCCACATCCCGTTGTAATAGAGCGAGTTGTGACTGGGTTAGGATTTTTGAGGACAAATTGCATACCACTCTTCCCGACGGTTGGTTGTTGCTGGAGTCACGTTCCTTCTCCTTGAGAATGTCTCAGTCATATGTTGAGTTGTTTGTGCTGCAGCTTGTTGGATATGCTGATCCAGCATCCAGAAATGGTGGTTTGTCAACTCCATATTGCAAAAGTTCCGATGGTCTTGGATCCATGCTTTTAAACTTCTTATTCGCCTATGTTGGTCGTTAATCAGTGCATACAAAGTGCGCCGCTGAAATTGGCGAACTGCCTGCCGACATTCCAAGGAGTCAACCGTTGGTCTTCTTCATAGCGAGTTTGGGACCAGGTTCTCCTTAATACAGCCGTGCAGAAATGCTAGCTTGCAATAATCAGATGAAACTCGACATGCAAGCCTCTCCCACTTCCTGGCTCTGAGCAAAACTGCTCTATCATATACATAGTTAATAACGCTAAAAATATGAACCCTGGGAATATTCATATCTAAAATAAAATGAACACCAAGGTACTAATTAAAACTATAAAAGTTTAATTTAAAAATGCCAAGCTTTCGCCGTCACCTGCCGGCATCATCAGGGCTGGGCCGCCAGGGTGTGAGAGAGTCATTTTATAGGCAAGCCGGAGTCTGCACCCGGCTCCTTGATCTCGTCACCGGGCCCAATTGGTTAAATTGTGCTCCG